TACATCAGCTCGAGCTTTGGGATTTCCAGATGTCTCCAGGTCYGTGTGGACCATCGTCACGGTACAGTATTTATCCAGGGATGTTTGTGACTGGGGACGAGGCAGGGCAGAGCCAAGGATTAATCACCTGGGGTTTTCAGTGTGTGCATCTTGGCTGCTCAGCTACACTGTGTCTTTTCAGGAGAAGCCTGTAATCCTGCTTGGAAATGTAAGCATTCCTGCACGCACAGGGCACTTCATTTGTGCAGCAGCTGCACACCTAGGTGTCTGGGCTCTGCTTTCCTTGCTCCCTAAAACATCGAATTTCCAGAATTCTGATCGTTCCACAACTGAATGGATATTTAGTGTGTTTGCACGGGGAAAACATGATTTTTGTGTTCTGCAGGAGAGGGCTGTGAATACCCAGAGAGCCCTCGGGGGCAGCAGGCCGACAGCAGCAGCCTTGCTGTCCCCTCCTTTCCCTTGGAGGCCGCCAGCGCCTCGCGGCAACGCGCAGCGAGGGCCTCGGCGGCGCAAGGGCCACAATGAGACGCTCTGTCCTGCTCCACGTAACTCGCTTGTCAGGGCGAAACATTTAATAATACAAAGTGATCGTTAAAAACAGCTCCATAAGAGAGTCATTTCCTCGGCCAAGTATCTCTCTGGCTGTGCAGGAAAAAACTAACATTCAATATTCCTTGTCTGTCAGCAGAATGAGGAAGCACAAAGCGTATTGTGCTTGAATATGAAATAACTTCATATTTAAACGGAATTGTAAATCAATTTCTGAGCTAAGTGGCTTTGCTGTTGCTCTGTTTCAGATCGGCTATAGAGCTTTATGTGAGCAGCAAAAATAGGGAAACCTGCCCTGAAACCGAGTGTTAGGGCCTGCGTGTCCTCAGGCATCGGGGCTCCTGCCACTGCTGCCAGGGACTCTGCCACAGTGCTGGAAATCCCTGGACATTTCAAATCAGCTTTACGTATTTTTGAGGCTGCCATCTGATCTGCACAGAGCTGGCTTGACTTTAGTGGAGGAAGAAGAATTGGATAGAGCTTTCAGACATGCACAAGAGACTTTTTCAGTGTTTAYTTCTAAGGGGAATAACTAAGTTAATACGTAGRGCCCTTATGTGGTGATAGTTATTCTAAAAAAAAAGCCCCCCAAAATTCCAAATACAACAGGCATGTGAAATGACTGAACGTGGTACCTACCCATCAGCTTAATTAATCTCCTGGTGAACATCATTACCGTGGTCCTTGTGCTCAGCAAGCCAGGGAGTCCGGCAATAGGAAGAACTGGAGCTCTGTACCAGGCTGGGCTGCTGTGTTGCACTGTGAACATGTTTGAAGGCAACTGAAAAGATTTTTCTGGCTTGTGAGGCGCTGCAGACATCGCTGTCAGGAGGGAGGGCAGCCTGATGCCCTGCAGAGCAAGAGCGTAGCTGAAAAGCRCAATAAATAGCCTTATCTTGACTAAGGAAATGGGTGGGACTTGTGTGTTTTGYAATATTTGATAGCTTTAACTACAGACAAACAAACAAAAATCCTAAAATCACCTTTTAAATGTAGCTGAGTGTGTTTATCTTCCTAMAGTAGAGGCTTACTTGGGGTTAATCTACAAGATGAAGGGGCTCATTTTTTCTCTTATGTGCAGGAAGGACTTCTATTGCTAATAGACATCAGTTTGTACTTTTTCAGTCTCACCAAACTAAGAATGGGACAAGATTAATTTATTTATAAATACTGCTGGGGCAAATAGCAAGCAGGAAGAATTGCATAAGTTCAAGCTTAATATTAGCCTGCGATTAAATGAATATAAATTAGTCACAAATAAATGTAGACTGAAAATTAGAAGAAAGTTAATAACAGCACAAGAAGTTCTGGAATGAGCCTCTGATAAGCCTGATAAACTTATGGAAAGGATTATGCCATACAATATTTGAAGACAGAAAATCCCATTTCAATGTGAATACAAGAGTATTTGCTGTGCTGATATAGCCAAAGGAGGTTGAAAAGAGAGGGACTGCTGAGTTGTTTGTTTATTTTCTCTGAAACTACACTGTATTAATTCCAGGCTTTCTGCTGGTCATCTGTGGAGATAAGAAGTTCCTGCTGACATATTACCGCGCTTTTGGGAGCTTGGTTTGTAATGTTAATCACCATTATCCAAACCAGTGAAGATCACTCACAGCCAGAAATAGGGCTCAAGTAAGATCTGTTGAATAAGTAGCTTTAAAATCATAGGGGTCTAGCTGATGTTCTCCGTTTCTATTCTCACAGATTATTCACAAGGTGAGAATCTTCACAAGGCAGAATCACAAATTATTCATTCTTTAAGGGTACTTTTCCTAGTCCATGTGGCATTACCAAAAAGCTGACACATCATACAGTGCCCAGCTCTCCCAAGTGCCTTACCGAGCGGCTTAGCTCACTGCTGGCCACGGCAGTGCTGCTTAAACTGTTTCTCTCCCTTCTGTCACAGCCGCAGGCTTTTTGTGGCCTGTCAGGTGGACATTCTGCGCTCTCCAGGTCACCCTCCTTTCTTGTTGGTGTTGCACAGCATAAGCCAAAAATACTTAAAGCATGATTTGTATTATATCAAGCCGCTCTRCTCTCTGATTATAAAGTAATTCTGTGGGACAGGTGTCACTCAGGCACAAAATAGACTGGCATCAAATTCTCAGCTGTAGTAAGCTGGTATCTTGCCACTGTCGTCAGTGAATGGCTGCCACGATAGACTAACTGCAGACCTGGTCCTAAGTAGTACGAGGTGAATGTGGTGGAGGATCTTGCTCGTAAAACTGACTGTGAGTTAGACTAATAGGTGTTTTTTTTTTGTTTTTTTTTGTTTTTTTTTTTTTTTACAAGGTGCTGGGAAGACTGAGATTAGTGATACTCTCAAGATACTCAAGCCACTGTTGTCAATTATTTACACCAAAGATAAAGCTTTCTTCAGAGCTCTTTTACTACTCTGTAGGTTAGTGATGGAAAATAAGCTTTAGCTGCAGGCTGAGATAACAGGAGATGAATATACATTATTGAGAGCCGAAGGCCTTCGTGACAAGGATTGCTTATTCCTTTGTGCCTGTTCTGTCCCCTGCACAATGGGTCCCCATTGTATGGGTAAAGTGTAGTAAGCATAATTAACAAAAGCACGGTAATTCTTGTTCAACTAGAACAACTACAGTAGAAGATCAACAGATGGGTTAGCCCACACTTATCATTCCTACTTGAGCCTTATTTAAGTAGTGTTCTTTTCTGCTAACTGRTCTTGATTTCTATTCTGAGAAAAGATGTCTCTCTGATACATATTCTGATGTACGTGCCAGAGTCAAGATTTCTTAGGAGCTTAAATAAAAATAAAATACCAGAAGAATGCTGTAAACACAGGTATGAGCATATAATTGCCTCTATTTCAGCATCGTTTTGTAAAGTTCCAGGGATTATTAGAATAGCAGACATTTTTTCATGTCAGGATGCTGATGGCTAATAGCTGCCTGGTGCTCAAAATCCATCCGCTTACAATCATATTGGTGTAATACCACAGAAGAACAAAAGTAATAACCAGCACCCTAAGAATTACCCAAAACTTTGGTGGGTTGTGGATAACACAGTTTTAGGGTGYACAAGGGTCAGTTTTTAAACTTTGTGAGCATGTGGTCTCCAGAAAGTCAGACTCCTTTAAGATGGTCCTAGCAGAGCATCAATTAYGCGCAAAGCTCACCTTTATGTCATGGAGCCAATTTCTTTACTCATGCCTGTTTAAGGTTAGCAAAAATGATATGTACTAACAAGATCCCTATCTGGTAGATGAGCAGAAAATCTTGAAAGCTGGAGGAATATATGGAAMTATATGGCACTATTTAATTTCATCTTCCAGTTGCAAATCAGAATCTGCACAGCTGGGAAAAACAAAACAAAAAAAACTGTTTGAGAGTGTCTCTCTATTGGGTGAGAAAACAGTACTTGAAGATGAATGTGTTCTGTAAGCTTGTTACAAACTGCACTTTCTTCACTTACAAACTTTTTGAAAATCTTAAWTTTTTTTTATTGTTTTATTCTTATAGTATTGTTCATAGCAATTCTACAAAAGGCAGTTGCTTGATTTTTGCAGCGGCTCAATGTGTTCATTTACCCTTTACCATCAGAGATGCTATTTTTTGTTTGACATTAATAGGAAAATGTTAACTTTCACAAATATTCTAAAATGTAATTGAAACTTGACATAAAATCTCTATTTTCTATACATTCTCAAATTTGGTATCTTATAGAGCTTTTTTTCTTGAATTCCATTTTTTCTTTTTCTTACATAATTTTCATCAGTAAGAAAAAGACTTTTGTATCAATTTTTTTTCTAGTAAGTGGGACTTCTTCCTATTTTCTTTCTTGTGAGTATCTCTTCGAAACACCTTTTATATCAGTAGGATTTATCACAAAACTGACAAGAGCAGTGATATTATTTCCCACTCCTCCTTTGTCCCGTGATGGATCTTTCAGAGATAGAGGTAAGGAGATCATGTTACTTTAAATGCAATTTGACCTGCCTACRAAGTCACAGGCTTTGGCTTTTGTGCTCCTCTTCTTTCTTATAGGACCCCTTTTATGGAAAAAGGCCTATGTATATTATCTGAGTATCGTGTGTTTAAAATTCCCAGGATAACTAACCTTTTGAGTATGAAGTTAGAGCATTCCTGTTGAGGCTACTGGGTATGTCTGTTTGCTTCATTTCTCCTCAACAAGATAATCAGACTATGGGATGCGACTGAGCAGTTGTAATCAAGCAGCAAATACGTTGTAGTAGTCAGATCTATCCTGTCTAGACTTCTGCTGCTGAATAGCACATGGAAAATCAAAGATTTGGAAGCTGAAAGGCTACAAATGAGGAAGGTGAAGGTGGAAAGTTTGTAGCACAAGAACTCAGGATCAGGAAAATCAAAAAACAGTGCCTTGAGCATAGGGCTTTAAACATCTTTGTAACCAAAAAATAAAATACTTTTTCTGATAATGTCATCTATTTTGTTAGGTGCTAAACAAATGCAAGAAAAGAAAGCATCGCTGTTCCAAGTTGCTTACTATGCAAAAGAAAATCAAGAGATTTCTTTGAAGAAAAGGCTACAGAATTTAAAGCAGTTCCAACTTGGTATGTGCTATGTTTTTAATAAGCTATAAAATCTCCTCATTCTCTAATTCTGACGAGCAATAGTGGTTTAAGGAGCAAAAGGGAGTCTTGGGATGGGGAGAAGGCATAGAAAAGTGTGACGTTAAGAAGAGAACGACAGAGGCAAAAGAAAAAAATCCAGTTAAGTTAACTAGGATTAAGGACAAAAGTCTGGAGTTGTTACCGTAAATGACAAAGCAGAATACTATGAGAACAATAATTATGGCAACAGTTTGTAATGTCTGGGTGCTACACAAAACATTTTTTCTATTTATTATATTATAAAATCCATTATTTTTTCATATATTTTCTGAAATTATTCTCTGCTCTTGGTGCCAGAGCTGATGCCCGTTTACAGAGTTATATTCTCTTTGCTCCCCAAAAAGCCCCTTCTCCTCAGTAAGTAAATAGTGTGATTAAGGTTCTTCCAAGGTTAGAATTTTCTTATTTAAATACAGAGAAAGAGGGCACTTCTCAGCAGTACTACAATCAGTGGAAATAAATACCAGCTACTCAGCAGGTCAAGGTCAGATCTGCATCTAACAGCTGATTTTACATCAGTAAAAAATATCTGATGATAGTGGAGACTATTTGCCATATTCAGTGTTGTATTTCAGGCTGTGCTCCAGTTATTGGCCCTTCAAGAGACTGCTATACTCAAAATGCTACCACCATCACCCAAAGGAAAAGCACAGAGGAAAGCAATAGGATTCCCAGGAGAAGAACTAGCAGGGAGAAAAGATCTCATTTTCTGATCTCCATTTAGAGCCTAAAATAACCTGTCTGCTGGGAGCAGCAGTTCTTTGGAAAATAGTGATTATGACAACTGTGGTCTTATTTACTTTCTGTCAGTGTTGTAACATACTACATACATTCACAGTATATTTTTAGTCACAGAAACACAGTGGAGCTAATCACATGTATCAAGTAAAACATCAGCAACAGGGCTCGTAGATTTGGGGCCTGTGGCAGCTGAGCATTTTGTTGCCCTTTCTAGTCAAGCTGAGCCCCTCTGGCACTGGTTTTACTGGACAAAAGAATTTTAGGCAGTCTTGAAGTAATTGGAATTTGCAAAAAAAGGAGAAAAAGCAGAAGGGACTGGAGTTAAGGTGCTCCCTGCGCAGCTCAGTTGGATGCAGATACCCTAATCCTGTATTCCAGTGGGCTAATGAAATAGCTCCTAAACATCATCTCTTGCAGCATTCCTGTCTTGGTTGCCTATAATGGCTCCTTAGAGAAATGTACCTTTTTCTCCCATGTTCCTTTCAGTGGATGTGGAAGTGTCTCAGTTCTGGTCACTTTCCCTCTAAAAACATAGTAATCATGAACTCATTTGCAGTCAGTGGTTAGTGTTAAGTAACAGTGAACTAACTTGGCCCTGTTTCCTAAGCCAGGAGCATACAATAGATTTACAGCAATCAGCATTTATGAGAATTAACACATCACCATTTAAAATGAAAACTCTTCCTTCGTTAGCTCCAAGTAGCTTGTAAAATCTTTCCCTGTGACTAAAATACTGAGTAATGTTGGATATCACTCACCTGAACACTGTGCTGTAACACTTATTTACAGCATTAGTATTTTAGGGTTTTGTTCAGTAAAGCAGGAGGGATCAAATCGATCCCTTGGAGCTGCTATCCTTTTGAAAGATGGCATGTGCCTGTCCATCTCAGGAATTACATACTGAATTAAATACTGAATCAGGAATACAAGTGTAAGGAGTAAGAGAGAGCTGGATACTGAATTCTTACCCATGGGCATAAACAGAACATGCTGTGGTCTCCCTCTGTCCTGAGCGGAAAATAGCTCTGCTGGCCTCGTGATGTCTTTGACTAGAATAAGGTGGTTTGGGAAGGAGGGACAAAAGATGGTCTTGTGTTTTGTGTTTTTCCAAGAGGAAAGAAATTACTGTTAATTTTATTACTATGAACTTTTCTTTCTTTTATTRCTACAAGCTTTCTCTCTTTAGCCCTGAAAGATGGGCTGCTAAAGAAGCAGTTTGAATATGGCTCCGCAGCTCAAGGGCTGGAAAGAATAGCAAGTTTAAGACTTAAGGCTTTAAGACTAAAGGGAAGGTGCAAACAGGATTATGATGGCAATTCAGTTCCTTGGGCTTTTTTTTTTCTTTCTTTCTTTTTTTTTTTTCTCTAACAAGAGAGGTCTTCCATAAGAAGTTACTGTTATTTATGATGAAMATCATAAATCTTTTTTAATAAGACTATATGGACACACAAAAAAAGGAATCTATCTGTCCCCAACAGCTCACAATCATTGGTCTATAATTTTTTTTTTTACTGGGCAAAAGAAAGAAAATGGCTCTTAAATTAGACGTTGAATTCCTTCCAGAATTTCAATACAAGATACTGACTCAATCATTCTTCATACAGATGCCTCCTACTCTACAAGTTTCTACTAACATAAAATGTGGTTGTTGCCAACTGAGCTGAGTGAATAATTTGCAGTTTCATATTTGAGATTTTTTCCTCCTCTTTTCATTATTTGTGCATGAGCAGATTGATTTTCTTGATTTTTTGAAAACATTTACTGTAATTATTCTGCAAGTAATTCTCTCTGTAAATCATTTGTGAACAATTTGTTGTGAGACATTTGTTCCAGTTCCGTTAGTTCTATATGAATTTGCATCACATGCTATTTGCTTCTTAGTTGTATGAATAGAATATCAAAATATCTGATTTTGTTAGAGTATTATTTCAGAGAGCAATCCCACTTTTAAAATTCCTTCCTAAAAAACTCAGAGATAGCACATATTATTGAAAATTATTTAAGACTTAGGAATATATATTTACTAAAACATTCAGAGTTTACATGCATGCGTAATTTTCATACTAACTAGTTTTTCCAACCCTAAAGAGAACATTATTTACACACTTCACAACTTGAATTTGCTCCTAACCAGAACTTTTGTCTCATCCCAATTCATTACACTTTCTGGCTCATAAAACAGCCCTTTGTGGGAGAGGAGGCTTTGAAGGCACATGAAGTGGTGTTGTTCCAAATTATGAATGAAATTATGCACAATTTCATCATTAAAAAAAATCCCATAAATAATTCCCAGATTCTCTTGGTTGTTGCTGAGTCTTAATAAAAAAATAAGACTGTATCAAAATACAAGCTTAAGAACTTGCGCTTAACTATTACTTACTTCTTACTTACTTCTTAAGTAGGAACTTAAGAACTTAAACTCAGTTTCCCAAGTCAATGGATGGCTTTMCACTCTAAATGATCTGCCATCTAAAAGACTGAGGAAAATGCCTCTTTTAATGAATATGCTATATTAAAATATAGTTAAAAGTCCACTAAAATACCAAGTRCAATCAGACGCTAGAGAGAGAACATCAAATCCAGAACTTTTAGTTTGCCTTGAATGTTTACTTAAAAAGTATTTTTAAAACACAAGATTTAAACACAAGATTTGTCCCTTGTTTCCCCAGAAAGGACTTGATGCTTTTTGCTAATATTCCTGAACTGCATTATCTGAGATGCACCAAAATGTTAAGTGTTGGTGTTCGTAAGTAACTTCTGGGTTTCATAGACAATTTAATCTGTTACATGAATAAGCTATTGATGCTAAACACCTATATTCTCTGAACCCAAATTTCAAACAACAAATTTAGGCATGCCCGAGCACCCAATCTTTGGGAAAATATGGAGCAGTGCACTCCAAGGAGGTAGAGCCAAAAGCTCRGAAGTCTGCATATCAGTTTTAGTTAAAAAGTTATATTTCTCTTTCCAGATATGATGTGCACACAATTGAAAAAGCAGACGGAAAAGGCTCTCCACCCTGAGAGGCCAGTGGTGAGCAGTCCAGTGAGAGCTGGCGGGTGCTCCCCAGCCCTCACAGATCCCACGCGGTTGCAGCTGGGTGCTGCACGTCCTCACCTGCCAGGAGACATTCCCGTGGCGGGGACAGYGGGGCGACAGAGCTCGCAGCACCTCCAGCACGGAGCCACGTCCACATCCAAACCATCAGCAGCTCCAGCAGCGTCGCGTGGAGGGCTGACAGGAGCCGCGACGGCGCCAGCAGGGACRCGGCCGGCACCCGTGCAACGCCACATGCAACACGGTAATTATAGCATGCTAATTTGCATCTCGTTTTTTTTTTCCTCACGTACCAGTATGCAGCGAAAATTAATCCAACCCAATTCATGCCTTGTCATGTCACATCGCTGCCCTTCTGAGCAAGAGTTTAACGCTTTACTCATAAATCAAGTCCCTCCAGACAAGAAAATTATTGTGAAGCTGAATGGTAATAACTTGTACTTAGAAATACCTACTTTGTCTTCCACACTGCGTAAATCAGGCAGTTCTCAGATTGTTTTTCTGTATGCTAAAGTTAAAATTTAYATCTCCAGCAATAGCAAATAATTCAATTTCTTTATTACAATACTCAAACATCCAGAGCAAAATTTCATCCCCTCTCTAAAAAGCTCTGTATTTTCTCATCAGAAGGAACAGTGCGACATGAAGTAAGTTTAAAGGTTGTGATGCCATTTTAGAAAAATGACACAGAAACACTTGTACCAAGGATGCATATAATATTCCACTTTTTCATAGAAGTGGATCTCAAATAGAATCTTGTAATTTAGTTTTATTTATAGTTTTTGTTTGATAATATAAAACATTACTAATTTAAATATGTGGAGTATTTCCTTATACTTATCACCAATAGATTTTTTTTACATGGTGACTAAGCTGCATAAATCCACACTTAGTACTCTGATATTAATGAATCTTAGTTTGATATGATAACACMCAGTTTTTCAGAATTCACTGTTTGCGTGATTTTTTTTACTTGTAGTTATTATAAATTTAAGACCTCAAAGTACACAGACAAATAATAACAGAACTAAGTGAATATACCATGAGTATAAAAGGGATTTATTTTCTAATTATTTTCTTATACAAGAGAGGAAAAATACTGTATTATAAAAGCACCAACCTGTCTTTTTATTTTTAATCTGCATGTTCAACTTCATTTATATCACTGAAAGGGCAGCAGTCCAAAATAAAAATAGCTAGAGCTCAAAAAGCAACGTTGCCACCTCGAATAGCTAGAAACCACAGTGATGGTTTAAATCACAGCACTGAGTGCAGATTCACGTGCAGTCTCATACCTGTGGCTCACTTCCACCTACAACTGAATGAAATACTGTGCTAAACTCCATTGCACTGTGCGCTGCTTCACTGGATCGAGTGATAGAAATAACACAAAATGAAGTACGCTGTACACCATGTACTCTCGTTCTACCAAACAGGAATAACCCCTATAATTACACCACAACCACACAGCAAATACCATGTAAATACATAGCAGTTGCATGTTCCTACAGCTTACTAGTTAATTATGCATTGTTACTAACAACTTCAAAGATAAGTTATGCCAGCATTTGCAGCATTTAGCTGCTTGCAAAGCTCCTAGGTTGTATAATAATGAAATTCATACAGTTAGATGATTGCTTTTGTTGATTTTCCRTTGGAATGGGGAAGGGAAACAGATCATCTCTTATGTCAAAAGGCCCGTAGCTTCAGCACCTATTTTGTATAGGTATATAAAAAAACATCAAAATACAAAGTAATGTAAGACCTCTACCAATAAGGACATCTGGATATGTTTAGGAAATCGCTCCTATTAATAAATGGCTTTGCAAATTTAGTTTAGTAATGCACCTGAGCAAATGCTGTATTGAATATTCTTTTTCTGACCCAACAGTTAATCTCACACAGGCTAAAAATGAAAGTAAAACCTCCTTCCACTGATGTCACTAGCGAAACGCCTATTGATTTCAGTGAAGGCAGGGCTCTACTTGTAAATAGATTCTTGAAATAGCTTATATTTTATTATGTCAGAAATATATYGATTGATATATACATAGTACATTTTATCTCTTCCAAAAGTCACACTGTACTATCTTACATAATACCTTAAAAATATTAAGAGACATTTTAATAGTATTCAAAAAAATGCAATACTATAAGCATTGGTCTTCCACAAGGTGAAGATTACCTTTAGGTTATGATTCTGCAATGGATTGGTCAGCTGTTCATATCAGGTTTCGCAGCCACTACTTGATGACCTTGTTTTTTTTTTTTTTGTCAATTTTCATCATTTTTATGTAGATTTTCAGTCTGAGGGGTGGTGATGTTTCACATTCACATAATGACAATGAGATTGTCATTAGTTACTATTTTAGAAGAACATGACTCCATTGAAAAATTAATTATTTGGAGAGTTACCCATTCAAAAAAAAATCCAATCAATGAAAGAATAAATTAAAACTCAGACTCTCTCATAAAAACAGAARGCAGAATATTGCATTCAGGAGGACAACTGCCAATTAAAAGAAATGTCAACAACTGAAGTGGCAGCAACTTCAAAGGGGAAATCTTTTCCTCATTTTCATATGCGTGCTTCATGAGCAACATCAAGAAGTGTAACATGCTAATAGCTAATAACACTCAGAATAAGATCCACTAATTTACTAACTGCATAATTTAAAGCATATCAAAGGAAGGATTTTCTCATTTCATTCTTTTTTTAGATCTAACACTAAGCTCAGTATTATCAAGTAGATGAAACTGCACAGATTACAAGTCATTATTGAAATAGTCATTTTAGAATAGAGTTTTGTATTTTCTGTTGGATGGGCTCTTTAGGGTTTAAGGATTYAAGTACATATTTTCCTTGTTACAATTCAGATTTCACCACCAAAATATCATCGACAAGATGTATTTACGGAAATGAGACATTTTGCCAAAAGCAAGTGCTTTGTGGAGATGGATCTGTCCTGATGCTAATCTTTYGGTGAAAAATTTGAGGAGCAAGGAGAGAAAGTCCCATTTAAATACCTCAGGTAAGCCAGTAATGCAGTGGTTGGGACATGCAACTGAGGTTTGGGAGATCAGGCCCTGATCTGAGGGAGGGATGGGAATGTAGATTTCCAGCATGTCTCAGAATGCCCTTGGCTGTTCTGGAATGGAGGAGTCTTCCTCCCCGCCTTCCAGGAATGGCAAGATGTCTGTTGTATTCCAACAGGGAAAGACAGAAAAATGCTAATTTTTTCTTAATAAAAAAAAAAAATAAAAAAAAAAGGCTAGACAGTACGCAACTAAGTGGTATTGAAATATATAGAGAGCCTACATTTTAAGAACCGCTTCTTGTCTATTGTGATTTTTGGATGTATATTTACAGACCGGTACAGCATGTAAACAAAGTTTTACCTTTGTTGCTATTGCACATTATGCAGCCTGCTAACATCTGCCAGGACTGTCTCAGGAATAGATTACCTATTAACATACAAAACAGGAAAATAGATCTACCTTTAATTCTACTGACACAGTCAAAAAGCTCACGTGGGCTTCAGGTTCAAAGATAGTAATCAATATCTCAACATCTGTTTTGTGGACGGTAAGAAGAAGCGTAGCCCAGGGTCAATCCTAAGCTTGGTTTGGTTTGGAGATATCTCCAGAAACTTAAATTTGGCCAGCACAAATGTTTAAATATGTTAAACATGAAGTTTAACGAGAACTGCAGATTTCCACATCTTCAGTAGAATAGCCTCATGTTCCAGGACAGGCTGAGTAAGCCTGAAAAGAARATATTGGAAAGAACATGGAACTTACAATGCATGTGAGGCTAAACGCAAACTAATGGTGTGCTCACTGCAAACAAGACAAACCTCATATTAGCCTTTATTAGGAGAAGCACGTCCAGCAAACTGAGGGGATTTATAATCCTGCTCTTAGTGCAGGTAATTTGGAATACTGTGTTGAGTCTGGGGGCCTGCAGCTCAGGATGGTATTGAGAAATGAGGAAGGAAGGTAGTAGAGGGGCTGCCAAGATGTCAAGGAACACAGACACGCGTTTTATCAGGAGAGACTGAGAGAGCTGGAGCCTGCTCAGTCTGGGGAAGAGGAGGCTAAAGGGTGATCTAATAGCAGACTGCAACTACTTGAAGGTCAGTTACAAAGAAAATGGAGCAAAACCTTATTTTGGCAATGACAGATGGCTTATCAAGGGGAAATGGTCACAAATTGTGGCTTGGGAAGGTCACTAGGAAGAACTGTTTCAGTATAAAATACTGTRGTACTGGATAGAGGCTACCCAGAGTGGAGTAACCTCAGGGACGTTCAGGATTTGGCTAGGTAAAATCATAGCTGACCTCATCTAGTGTTGGTGACAGTCCAGCTTTGAGTGGACAGTTGGGACTAGATCCAGGGGTCCTTTCCAACCAACATTTCTGGTGTGACTCAGAGTCCAGCCAATGGCATTATCAGGATCTCACCTAAATGATGTTAAACACAACTCAATTAAAAGTTCACTCATCAGGAGATAAGAAGGAAGAGCATCCCAGTTGCCCAGTTTCCTCATGGTGAGTTCTTAAACAGCAGGACATGCTACAAGGCTACGCATTCATGTTGCTTTACTCTCCTGCTATTCCAATAGCAAACATGTTTCTGTGATGCCCCTTTAACAGGAGAAAGGACAGAATGTTGGAACCAATGGTTCTGTGGCAGATGGAGTGACATTTGCAATTGCAAAAAAACACTCTCATGCTGCCAAAATATTAACAAGGGGCTTCCTCAGAAACATCCTACTGCAATCATTGATACATGCAAACTCTCCTTGTAAATATTACTTTCTCCAAAGAATGAGGTATCATTCCTGCACACTTTCTCAGGATAAAGATCTCTGTGAAGCTTTCTTTTTTTTCTCTCCTTCAAAAAACTCTTCATTTTGATTCTCAGATTTCCAGTGTTGTGACACCTTATGGATGTTACTCTTGATAACTCCAATGAGACACGACAGTGAGGGATAG